GTCTTGCGTACTGTACGATCACATGGAAAACGGAATCGTTGTAAGAGGACAACGATCTCTCCAGTGTTAAGGTAGAACATAAGGTGGAAAAGGAAGAGTTCGAACGAAGAACTGGTGCGACCCTCCAACAGTTAGACGAGGAGGGTCTAGTCGTTGGACAGTCGCGACGAAGAACTTCCCGTCGTCGGCTCAACGAAGTACGCCCGTCTCACCTGAGGAGTCTTCGTAGCTGCCTGAAGACCTTGAGTCCGGAGTGCGAAGAACGAGGTAGAGTTAGACTCGTCTCCACCGTGGAGGTAGGAGGAGGTGGAGAAGGTGACTAGAGGAGTTCAAGGGCACCTCTCCAATCGAGAGACGAAGAGTTGGAACGTGCTCGACGGTGCGAGTCGAGTTAGAGGAGAAGGTCAAGAGTTTATGCTCGACCAACTTAACATCTAACAAAAGAGAAAATCCTTAGTAAGTGAAACTCAATGTGTATTCCGTTACCATACGGTCATAACAATTAACATTGTTTAGAGTGGACTCGAGGAACTAGAAGAAGACCGACTCGTGGGGTCTCTGACGAGTAGAGTCTTAGCAACGATTCCCGACTGACGTAAGTTTCAGGAAGGAACACTTTGTTTAACTATAAGGTAACTCAAGTCACGTTAACTTGTGAAGAAATTTTTTTACATACAACACGTGTTGTCTTTTTGTCAATGAAAAACTAGAAAGAGGTAGTCTGACGACGAACAGTAAGAGTTCTAGGTACTGCTCTAAGGACCCGGCAAACTCCTGGTGGGATTTCGAAAGAGAACCGAAGAGGTCAGGTATGCTCGAAGAAGAGAACGAGGTCTTTGGGAGTTCGATTGTTTTCACATGTAAAATTAATAGTACAAGTTCTAATTAAGAACGAAAAGGTTTAGTGCACTGACATTTGAGTGTACAGGGTGGACGACAGAGTTCGAACCCAGAACCGGAATCAGTCATCACATGAAACAGAAGGAGACGGATCCAGCTAGTTTCAGACGAACATACTCCTGAGGACTTCCCAAAGAAAAGGCAACCCAGTCGAATCGTCTACGAGAGTAGGACTCTCAGGAGAGGAGTCAGTCCAAGAAGTGATTTACACGTTCTTTCTAAATGACCTCTGACAATACTCCGTTATTTGATTAATATTAGAGTGATAGGATGCTGTCTTAGTAACTAATGGCTTTGGAACAAGAGTCGACGCTACAAAGGAGGAAGAGGTGGAAACCGTTCCATTCGAGGTCCAGTAGTTATAGGAGAACTCGAGTCTCCGTAAAGTTAGGAGGTCGAAAGAGAAAGAAGCCGTCACTCGATCCGTAACTAAAGAGAAGTAGAGGGTCAGAGCAGTGAACAAAGAAACATCAACATGGGCAGGTACGACTTAGAATGGAAACTATTCAGGAGTGTAGACCGAGGAGTCGTAGACTCCTCTGAAAAGAGGAGGATTGGTAAAATAATTTTAATTATTTACTCCGTTAGTTGAACCTGTTTGTACCTTGTTTAAATAGAGTAGCAGACTATTCAAAAACATGAAATGTCTACGATAACGTCTGAGTCTAGTAGAAGAGGACGTCTTCCCCTTTGGTAGAAGAGGAGGTCAAGGAATGAACGAACCGGTGGGAGGGCGGGGTGACCCGTCATCGGTCCAGTCAAAGTAGAACAGTATCAAGAGGAAGTATAACGGTCGAGGAGAGTCAAAGTCGTGAGACGTCCGGTCTCCGAATTAAGACATCTCTGGAGTAGGTACCGGTAAAAGTGTAAGTACTTACTCGCCTATGAACATGACCTACCATATATATCGAAAAGGGACGTTTTTTCTTTAGTCCGAAAAAATCTGCTACATATAAACTGTAAGAGTTTATAGGGTTACTCTTACTCAACAAATCGTTGCACGAAGATGCAGTTAGTTAGAAATATGGCGAAAAGAGGGTACTATATCGGTTGCCCGGTATCGCGGACCTCAGTCCAACTGGCCTCTACGTTCAAAAAGCAGAGAGAGTAGAGGAGTTCCCGATGGGTCGTCCGGTCGGAAACTTCTTGTGGACTTGTTTTCTTTTACATTTTTTTTCACATATCTCTTGACTTATATCAGGACGGTGTTACCACCGAAGAAAGAGAAAATCTCACGGCTCATTAAAGTGAAGACACAAAGGAACCGTGTTTATAGAATTTATTTCTCTCAAGTTAAACACGGATAAACGAAAGTAAAACAAAACCAAAGATTCCAAGTATCCCATATGTACAACCTATTTTATACTTTACTAGTCTGTGTGATTTGACTGTGGTGAACTGAAGTAAGCTTCTCACTTAGCAATCATACAATTCCCTTCCAACGAATGTGAACCACACAAGGTTAATATGAGCAGTCACTCCCTTGTAGTTGACTTTGGTTAGTCGAAGAGACTTCGTGAAGAACACACAGGTACTTTGACTGGGAAGTCCCTAATCGTGACCCTAAGTCGTGGAACATAGAAATACGTTTCCCAAATACCAGTCACCCTCGTAATGTAAACTTAATTAGACGAAGTTTTTACTTGGATAGATGTATAAGCTGACTACTGGAGACGAACTTCAGTCGTATCTCCTAGGACCGACCCTTGGAAAAGACGTCTAGATTATGGGAGGTCAATGTGGTAATGTGACTCACCACCTATTGGTCCTTCACGAGGTAGTCAGGACATTTTTTTATGTAAAAGTATTCCATTACTAAAATTACTAATCCATTCACAGAATTACTTCGGTATGTTTTGATTAAGTTCGTTTGTTTGGATTGGGTTAGTAATTCTGAAAGTGTGTGAATATAAGGAGACTAAGGGACCTACGCACACTGAGTAACCCTTAGTCTGTCCGCGTTGTTTCACTCCTACCCACGAGGAGTCAATAGTAGTCCGACCGGGTCTCAAGAGACCATAGGTAATTACCACAGAGTACAGTACTTTACGGTGTTAAAACTCTAAACAAATTTTTCTCTCGTTAATCTAAAACTAAAACTCTTCGACATGGGGACTTGCAACTCCTGTGTACAGACAGGAATCATAAGACAGAGAGCGAAGCCAGAACGGAGGGAAATGGTCGGAGACCAACTAAAAGAACAAATAACATATACGTGTATACTAATAACGATACATTATTATGATCAAAAAAAACCCCTCACAACTACTACAATTATATATAATTATTTAAAACAGATAATAAAAAATATATGAAACTAATAATTTTTCATATCACAATAGAGACCAGCATTGTTACACAAAGGACAAATAAAAATAGACATATAAGAAGAGTGCAGACACATAACACTTGTCGGTCATAGGTCATCGGTGGACATACCTGATACATAGTCCTTACTAGCTCAGTAGTCCCGGATAAGAACGGTTCAGGGTACGGTACTCTCACACCATCAGATTGAACATATATCAGGACAGTATCACGTAGGTACCTCTGTCACCGAAGTACACGAAACGGGAAATGCGACGAAGAGTATTACGAAACAAAAGGGTCTACGACCAGTATGTTCGACAGAACTACTATACACAGACAAACCCTTGTCTAGGAGAAGTATCACATACCTCATATACCGGGTACCCGAATTTTCAACTTTCTTCCATACAGTAAAAGTATTGTTAATGTTTTTTGACACATGTATACATATACTAGTTTTATTCATTTATACGAGAGAAGTGTCAGTTATCGGTACCGCCAGAGTAATAGGTTGTTTCAGTATACTCATGAAGGGCTACAGCACTATTATGGGAGAGACATGAGGAGCGAGTCTGCTTGTACCACACCAACTTCTTGACAACGTCAAAGAGTAACCATTCAACTACGTGTCATGCGAGGTACATAACCTTGCCGTCTTATCCTGTATAGGAGAAATATACGCAATGTCCGTTTATCGTACGTACTCAAATAACTTTCACACGTTGACGACATCTAACAACCTTGAGTCCGAATGTAGTTTCAAAGTCTTCGGTCGTCTATAGGTGTGTGGCTGTTATATCATGACAGATCCGAACAACCACCCAGGAGTCTTCGACCCACTATGCCTACTGCGTAGGTCGTTTTTGTAGAAGAGTATCTACCTGAACCGGTCCCGTCCGGTGACTCAAGCTACGTGGCAATTTCTTTTGGTCATTCCGCCACTGCTATATTTGTCAAAAAAATGGAATATTTCTTGTACTGTGTTGTAAAGTCTCATAATTTTTAACTCGTAGTCTCTACAGCGGGAACTGAACCTTAAACATAATTCGTATATCCCTATGAGTACTATTTCCCTTATGCGGTTGCTATAACGCAGAAGAACAAAGGCTTACTTGAGACAATGATGTAAAAAATAGAAAAATTTACCATGTTCCAACTTATAACTATACTTAACAAATGGACTCCACTGACAAACAAGGACCACTGTAGAGTCAAAGGCTGGGAAAGTGAGATCCTATCGTGTCTGGGACAGTCGCTACAGTCGCTCAGTCTGGGTCGTTCTATTCCGACTCGAGAACGATCGTATAAGATATTATTAGTCTAATCCACAGGTAGCTATACTAAACATCTTCGTGTGTACCAATAGTACATATCCATGGGTTACAACAACGGATCGAGATGCGAAACTCGATTCTAATTTATGGAAGTGGGCAGACACGGTAGTCCGAGCTCGGACGAGGCAGATGCGACGACAACGGAACTTGAAGCTCAATGGTACCCACTTCGTAGTCGTGGCCAGAGGGAACATGACTACGGAGTACGAAGCGAAGATCTTCACGACCTTCCTCATCCGTTATCGTAGAGCCCACAAGTTTTCTGTGTTTCTGCCGTATAACGGAGTTCCGCCTTACAAGACTTCTTCGTCGAACCACAACTACAACGTAAACAAAGTGTTCAGGCTATAAATTTATACAACTCTCAAGTTTTGGGAGAGGGAGGGACGAAGTCCGAGGTGAAAATAGTTACGACAGCCGTGTCAATACGAATGGGCTACGATGTGTACCCCTCAGAAGACTGAGATCCAGACAGCTCTTGAAGAGGCTGAGGTATTTATTTTTCCTGGGAGTTTATAAAATTACAAATAATTGACACATATATCAGTGTTTGAAGGTAAAGATGAGTGTTTAATTGTTTGATTTCATTAGGGAACTCTGGAACATGAAGAGTCTAAGATCCTTCGTGTCCAGCTGGAGCTCAACCAGATTAAGGGTGAGGTGGACAGGAAGCTGGCAGAGAAAGATGAAGAGATGGAACAGATCAAGAGGAACAGTCAGAGAGTGATTGACTCCATGCAGAGCACTCTGGATTCTGAGGTCAGGAGCAGGAACGATGCCCTGAGAATCAAGAAGAAGATGGAGGGAGATCTGAATGAGATGGAGATTCAGCTCAGCCATGCCAACCGCCAGGCTTCTGAGTCCCAGAAGCAGCTGAGGAATGTGCAGGCACAGCTGAAGGTATTGAAAGGAACATTTGTTTTTCCAACTATGGTAGATTGGGCTACATTTTTGGCATTCATGTATATGTCTGATCTTTTTCTCACTAGGATGCACAACTGCACCTTGATGATGCTCTCAGAGCCCAGGAGGACTTCAAGGAGCAGGCTGCTATGGTTGAGCGTAGAAACGGTCTTATGATGGCTGAAATTGAGGAACTTAGAGCTGCTCTGGAACAGACAGAGAGAAGTCGCAAAATTGCTGAGCAAGAGCTGGTTGATGCCAGTGAGCGTGTTGGACTTCTGCACTCTCAGGTGAAAAAACCTAATCATTTGTTTCAATAATTCAAGAATCTAATAAGATCTTTAATATTGTGAATATTAGACAGGCGTTGACTTAGGAGGCTAAATATGTTTACTTTTTAGAACACAAACCTTGTGAACACCAAGAAGAAGCTTGAGACAGACCTGGTCCAGATCCAGGGTGAAGTGGATGACATTGTTCAGGAAGCAAGGAATGCAGAGGAGAAGGCTAAGAAGGCCATCACTGATGTAGGTTTCAATGTCATGTGTTCTTGCTTTAACTATAAATGTTTTTCCTTGGTATGTCTAGTTAACATGTTATGCTGTCTCCTGTAGGCTGCTATGATGGCTGAGGAGCTGAAGAAGGAGCAAGATACTAGTGCTCATCTTGAGAGGATGAAGAAGAACCTGGAGGTTGCTGTTAAGGACCTGCAGCACCGTCTGGATGAGGCTGAGAACCTGGCCATGAAGGGTGGCAAGAAGCAGCTCCAGAAACTTGAGTCTAGGGTAGGATATGATTATAAGGGTTACACAGCTATAGCTAGACTTTTGGGGAAAAAACAGTATAATTAATTTTTTACTTTTATTCAAAAGGTGCGAGAACTGGAGGCAGAGGTTGAGGCTGAACAGAGACGTGGAGTAGATGCTGTTAAAGGTGTCCGCAAATATGAGAGGAGAGTTAAGGAGCTCACCTATCAGGTAAAGTCACTTTCATAGTTAACATGTACAGTACCAATTACTCTAATATACTAACCTATTAAAATATTGAAACGTGCAAATCTTACCTGTCTTTCACAGACTGAGGAGGACAAGAAAAATGTTGCCAGGCTGCAGGATCTGGTTGACAAATTGCAGCTGAAGGTGAAGGCCTACAAGAGGCAGGCTGAGGATGCGGTAAGGACAATATATACCGTTCTTTGTGTAGATATGTCAGATTTATTTTCACCAGCAAATCTTGCTGATTGTTAAGATTACCATCACATTCTTATATTATATTTTAAAGTGTTTGAAGGTTTCTGTACCTTAAACTATGTATCTCTTATTCCAGGAGGAACAAGCCAATACTCATCTGTCCAAGTGCAGGAAGGTTCAAAATGAGCTGGAGGAGGCTGAGGAGCGTGCTGACATTGCAGAGTCCCAGGTCAACAAACTGAGAGCAAAGAGCCGTGACTCTGGCAAGGTAACTATAAAGACATTTCAGCTTTTATGAATGAAAATTAAATTAAATAACTCTTAATGTCTTACTTAAGTCTTGACAGGACAAATATAGCCCAAATCTTTATGAAATGAATGACAGAGAAATTATTCAGATGTATGCAGAGTAGCCTATAATGTTTATGCATATACACTCTATGTATTTATATATTTTGTTTTTGTTTTTTTACAGGGAAAAGAAACAGCTGAATAAAGCACTTGAGTGGATTGACTGTTTCTAATCATATAATATGATGTGAAATATACCACAATAAACGTTTTTGATCTTTAATGGAATTGTCTTTCTTATTAGTGCGAATGCTGTGCCGGTGTAATGCCGCGTTATGCATGCCCGCCAAAAAGGAAATGATATCGTTTCCAAGCCAATCTTTGCCGTACTAATCATTGAAATGACTGCGAGTGTTCGCTTTACGCTGTAGCGCGCTCCCGCGAGGTGCAGTGGGCTGACCCGTCCCTCCCTACAGGCCGATCACGCAGACTGCGTGGGGCCTCATCTTGCGGAGGGAGCCTCAACTGAGCCGAAAAGGCGGCGCACCTATGCGCTTATGCGGTGCAATTAGTGTGGCGCAGCACGGTTTCGCCGCTGCGAGGCTCCACTAGTATCTAATATGCTTCTAGAAAGGGCAAATGTGAAGCTTGGAAATATAGGACAAAGCATAACAAATTATCCCATCTTTGTTTGAATGTCTGGCTTACAGTATGCTACATGCAACACACATGATGCATACATTTCTGATGTGGAGGTATGATTTAAAATCAATAATGACCAAAACATATGTATCCGATGTTACCATGTGTAAGTATTGAGGCCTGTGGAAAGCAAAGCTTTTAAGCATGCCTCCAATGTGTATTTATAGGTCCATAGCACAGGCAATGGTAAGGAGAGCCTAAGACATACCAATCATTATTAAGTCTGAGAGTACTTTTGGATCCGTCAGGATTAGTTGGTGGGACTGTTTGAGGAGAAGGGTAAAGAGGTTGACTATTGTCACTTTAACCCCAACATGTACAATTTGCAAGAGCATAATGAATATCATGGTCAAAAAAATCCAAGAAACCTTTCATGTGAAGCTGCACAATGTAAAGTTTGAAAGATTCTGAAAGAGAGAGACGTTTTATGTAGTATCTTTGTTTAATTATTGTTTCAAGTTGATTGATTATTGATAGTGAGAATGTCTTACTGATTATTTTTCTCATTATGCAACAAAACCTAAAAATCCATCTTTCAATAAAATTAAACCTAGTTTTACTGTAGTAATCCAGGACATTGATTTAATATTTGTTTAAATTGTATGATCACAAAAGGATTCTGTAAAATAAAAAACATTATACAAGTTATACTATAAAACTGTTAATTGTTATGTTACCAAAATATAAATTATGGTTTAATTAATCAAATTAAAGAAGCAGTTTAAGGTAATAGAAATTCATTTAAAAGGAATATACCTTTAAAAAAATGAAGAGGAAGTTCAAGAGCTTTAAATAAACTTAAAGAAAAGACCTGACCATACTTACTGAAACCTGACACATCAGATGATATGTAACAACCCCAGTCTGCCATACCACATTTGGTGTATGCCACATTTAACTTTTACTGTGTCATCAAATTGTATTCAATATAAAAGACACTGGGGGACACGATAGAGGGTAGCAGCAACAGCCTCTTCTGTTTTCCTACTTGGGGTAATTTAAGCTTGAAATTATTTGAATATGTTTTTCATCAATTATTTTGTTGTTATAGAAATATTTGTTGAGTGAGTCTTGTTTTACCTTCTCTAACAACTAAAAACTGTTTTGAACAGGATTGATTCAATACTGTTGAAGGAGAGGGGGTTAGGTAAGGAAAACTTTTAAGTGTTTAATACATGTGCAAATTATTTATTCTTCATTTAATGTCTGCTGTAATTAATTGAAACGTTTACAAATCATCAAGAATATGTTAGTATATACTCTTAGTTAAAACCAAGTCTGAAACGGACTTTGAGTGAAATTAAAGCGAACCTGTAACAATACAGAGATAATGTTTACATGCAAATTTGTAGATATTTATCTGCATTATTTTAAGTTCAAATGATGTTGAATAACATGTGCAATCTAATGAACATAGGTCTAAGTTGCAATTCATTTGTAATCATCCAACAGAAATCAGCCGGCACAATGAGTACAGACGCAGAGATGGCCACTTATGGCAAAGCTGCCATTTACCTTCGTAAGCCAGAGAGGGAAAGAATTGAAGCTCAAAGCGCACCTTTTGATGCCAAGAGTGCCTGCTATGTGGCTGATACCAAGGAGCTGTACTTGAAGGGATCAATCCTCAAGAAAGATGGGGACAAAGTCACTGTCAAAGTCTTGACCACTCAGGAGGTTTGTATCACAAACTCAGAGTTAAAGTGGGAAGCCAGAGAGAACTAGGAATGTAAAATGATTGGATCTAATTGTGAAACATTTCCTGTTCTAGGAGAAGGTAATGAAAGAGTGTGATGTGTATCCAATGAACCCTCCCAAGTATGACAAGATTGAGGACATGGCCATGATGACCCATCTCAATGAAGCCTCTGTGCTGTATAACCTCAAAGAGCGTTATGCAGCATGGATGATCTACGTGAGTAAATTTGTCTAATGAGAATAAGAAAAATATTGGATATTGCTATAGATATATACATATATATATATATATAGGAATGTTACATTTTAATTCTCTATGATATCTTTTAGACCTACTCTGGGTTGTTCTGTGCCACTGTGAACCCCTACAAGTGGCTCCCAGTATACGATTCTGAATGTGTAAATGCCTACAGAGGCAAGAAGCGTATGGAGGCTCCACCCCACATCTTCTCTGTCTCTGACAACGCTTATCAGTTCATGGCTACTGGTAAGTCATTACCACTAATTTAGAACGCATCAGTATATAGGGTTTATGTTTTTAACATGTACTTGATTGGTTTATGTTTTTTTCACTTTTACAGATAGGGAAAACCAGTCCGTCTTGATCACGTAAGTTTGTAACATTTACAATTGTTTTTTAAATTAAGATTAATCAAACATATTGGTCAAGTTCTTAATGACCTCTGTCTATACCTAGTGGAGAATCTGGTGCTGGAAAGACTGTGAACACCAAGCGTGTCATCCAGTACTTTGCAACGATCTCAGTTTCTGGACCCAAGAGGGACACATCAAAGGTATGTTACTCTATGATGATGATGATGATTCAGGACGTAATAACTTACGTATAGCATACTATTACTAACGTAAGTNAGAAGGCCATCACTGATGTAGGTTTCAATGTCATGTGTTCTTGCTTTAACTATAAATGTTTTTCCTTGGTATGTCTAGTTAACATGTTATGCTGTCTCCTGTAGAGGAGACAGCATAACATGTTAACTAGACATACCAAGGAAAAACATTTATAGTTAAAGCAAGAACACATGACATTGAAACCTACATCAGTGATGGCCTTCTTAGCCTTCTCCTCTGCATTCCTTGCTTCCTGAACAATGTCATCCACTTCACCCTGGATCTGGACCAGGTCTGTCTCAAGCTTCTTCTTGGTGTTCACAAGGCTTGTGTTCTAAAAGGTAAACATATTTAGCCTCCTAAGTCAACACATGCCTAATATTCATGTTATTTGAAATTGTATTTGATTCTTGAAATATTGAAACAAATGATTAGGTTTGTTCACCTGAGAGTGCAGAAATCCAACACGCTCACTGGCATCAACCAGCTCTTGCTCAGCAATTGTGTGACTTCTCTCTGTCTGTTCCAGAGCAGCACTAAGTTCCTCAATTTCAGCCATCATAAGACCGTTTCTACGATCCACCATAGCAGCTTGCTCCTTGAAGTCCCATCAAGGTGCAGTTGTGCATCCTAGTGAGAAAAAGATCAGACATGTCATATACAGTACATGAATGCCAAAATGTAGCCTTACGAAATACAGTATGTGAACCCTTTGGAACTACCTGGATTTCTGCATAAATTGGTCATAAAATGTGTTCTGATCTTCATCTAAGTCACAACAATAGACAAACACAGTCTGCTTAAGCTAAAACCACACAAACAATTATATGTTTTTATGTTTTAATTGAACACACCATGTAAACATTCACAGTGCAGGGTGGAAAAAGTGAACCCTTGGATTTAATAACTGGTTGACCCTCCTTTGGCAGCAATAACCTCAACCAAACATTTCCTATATTTGCATATCAGACCTGCACAACGGTCAGGAGGAATTTTGGACCATTCCTCTTTACAAAACTGTTTCAGTTCAGCAATATTCTTGGGATGTCTGGTGTGAATCGCTCTCTTGAGGTCATGCCACAGCATCTCAATTGGGTTGAGGTCAGGACTCTGACTGGGCCACTCCAGAAGGCCTATTTTCTTCTGTTGAAGCCATTCTGTTGTTGATTTACTTCTGTGCTTTGGGTCGTTGTCCTGTTGCATCACCCATCTTCTGTTGAGCTTCAATTGGTGGACAGATGGCCTTAAGTTCTCCAGCAAAATGTCTTGATAAACTTGAGAATTCATTTTTCCGTCGATGATGGCAATCTCTCCAGGCCCTGAGGCAGCAAAGCAGCCCCAAACCATGATGCTCCCTCCACCATACTTCACAGTTGGGATGAGGTTTTGATGTTGGTGTGCTGTGCCTTTTTTTCTCCACACATAGCGTTGTGTGTTCCTTCCAAACAACTCAACTTTGGTTTCATCTGTCCACAGAATATTTTGCCAGTAGTGCTGTGGAACATCCAGGTGCTCTTTTGCAAACTTCAAACGTGCAGAGTTTTCTGGACAGCAGTGGCTTCCTCCATTTTATGACCAACTTATGCAGAAATCCAGGTAATTCCAAAGGGTTCACATACTTTTTCTTACAACTGTATAAGAGTTATTTTTACCAGAACATGGGGTGGTCCAGTGTCTTGAAGTTGGCCCACAGAGACAGGTAGGGTTTCCATTGGGACTGTGAAGATGTATATTCATACAGCAGAGCCAGCAGCAGGGGAACCCAGCCCGACGAGCTCTCCAGAGATGACTTTTCTGTGAAGGGTAAGAGAAGGGGTTACAAACAGAGAGGCGCTTCAATCCTGGGAAAGCCTCTTTGTAATTATATATCACCTTTCTCCAGCATGGCAGAAACCTTGGTTGTTCCCTGGTGGAGAACAGCTGATCTGGGGATGGTGAATAAAACCTCCCCCTCCTCTATGTTGTCTTTAGCCAGCATCCCATAATCTGCCACTGTTCCCTCTTTACTCACACACACCTACACAGAGAGAGATG